TTTTGCTATTGTGAGTAGTGTTGGATGAACATAGGTGTACTTCAATAGAATGTTCTATCAGAATATTCAGTAATGGTAGCCAGGTACCATGCAGTTATTCTGGTCTCATGGCAAAGTGAAACATGTCAGTTACAAAAGGACAAATAGTTCATGGAGGCAGTTAGGCACACATTCCATTTCTTCCTCCTATCCCTGACTCTCCTTCTTCCTCTGTTGCTCCAGGTAAATAGAGAACAATTGTTGTGCCTTGGATGACCTCTTGCAAGCTTTTAAGACGACAGGCACTATGCAGCAAACTAGGAGGTAGAACAGACACACTAAACATGTTATTAGGCTAACTAACAGGGATGTCCCGTGAACCAAACCAGTTGCTGTCAAGTCAGTTCCGACTCATAGTGACACTATAACCCTAAGTCTCCAAACCAAAGAACCAAATTCCATGGGTGTTTGGTTGTACATAAGCAGCCTCAGCATCTACTCTTTTTTTTCCCCCTACGTCATTGCCAACATTTTTTTTTTCTTTTTTTTTTTTTAATCTCGGCCATCCTAGTGGGAGTGAAATGGTATCTCATTGTAGTTTTGATTTGCATCTCTCTGATGGGTAATGACATTGAGCATCTTTTCATGTATTTGGTGACCATTTGAATGTCCTCTTTGTTGAAATGTCTATTCAACTCCTTTGCCCATTTTACAATTGGGTAATTTGTGTTTTTGTTATTAAGTTGTCAAAGTATTATATATATTTTGGTCATTAGATTCTTATCAGGTATATGGTTTCCAAAGATACTGTGAAGCTGCTAGTTGGTAGCTTCTCTCTTCACTTTTTTGGTGGAGTCTTGATGAATAAAAGTTTTTAATTTTTATGAGGTCCCATTTATTTTGTCTTTTGCTGTTTTTTGTTATTATATTAGATAATTCTTTGTCTAAACCTAGGCCCAACAGCATTGCCCCTTGTTTTCTTCTAAGAATTTTGTGGTTTTAGTTTTCACGTTTAGGTCTTTAACCCATTTTGAATTTGTTTTTGTGTGTGGTGTGAGGCGTGGATCCTGTTTCATTTTTCTACATGTGGAAATCCAGTTTTCCCAGCACCATTTATTAAGTGGACTTAGCGCCCTTGTCAAAAATCAGTTGACCATAGATGTGTGGGTTTATTTCTGGACTCTCAGTTCTATTCTGTCTATTGTTACACCAGTACCAGGCTGTTTGGTTACTGTGGCTGTATATTTCAAAACCAGGAAGTGTGAATTCCCCTACTTTGTTTTCTACTTTTTTTTTTAACTAACATTTTATAATACCCCTTGAGATTCATGAAATGACTTTTTTTGATAATATAATCTGTAGTAGTTGAGAGCTGAGGCTGCTAACCAAAAGCTAGGTAGTTCAAATCCACCAGCCGCTCCTTGGAAACTTTATGGGGTAGTTCTACTCTGTCCTGTAGGGTCACTGTGAGTCTGAATCAACTCGATTGCAGTGGGTTTGGGGTGTTTTTTTTTTTTTTTTGTACACATAATTTGAGGAAAAAAAATATACTGCAATTACCCGTAATACAAAGGAAAAAGAAAAACAAAGTAATTATAAAAAGGATATTTCTACAAGTAAATAAAATGCTTGGGCATCACCACTCTAGAGCGTTGCCTTGCAAGGTGTGGTCATGGACCAGTAGCATTAGTATCACTCGGTAACTGATTGTACAGACTCTTAGGCTTGCTCCAGGGCTACTGAATCTGAAATCTGCATTTTAACCAGATCCTCATGATTCGTGTGTGTCTTCAAATTTGCAAAGCACTACTTAAGACTACAACATGAAGTAGTAAGATGCTTGCACCTATTTGTAGAATCACTACAAATGACAGCTACTAGTAGAGACTGATACAGGTATGTGTATTGGCAGCACAGGCACCGTTGTGTTGTGATTTTTCTGAAAAAACTCTTAGTAATATTTCAAGCAGAGCCCTTGCCCTCTTCCCTCACTTATATATGATTTGCTTTCCTGTAATTTCAGTTTATGTCAAAACTGGGGAAATACTTTGTGCTTATATATAATATGAAATTTGTTTCTAGGTTCACTTAATTGTAAACAGATTTTTCAGCTATAAAAACGTCTTGTAGGACATTCAAATGTTGTGCAGGACAGTTTTTTTGTTGTGCAGGACCAGCCCGGACATTGAGCTGTCTAGCATCCCTGGCTCCCATTCCCTGGACCCCAGTAGGGTCCCTATCACTTTGACAACCTCCCCCAACTAATGTTCCTGCAAATTACTGTAACAAACAAACAAACCTCTAGGGCACAGTGCTGCTGCATTGAGAACTACCGCCATAAACTCCCACATGATAGTAGGTGCTGATACAGGGACAGCCTGTGACCAGCCTGAACCCTTTTGGAGCAGGCATTTTGGCTGTGATACCTCTTGCTAAGTTGGTATACATCAGCTGGAGTATTGTGTGAAGTTCCAAACTATACCCTTCGTGCCCCTCAGCCCTGAGACTTTGCGGTGAACGACCTGAAGATCCTTGCCTCAGCCACTGTTACTGTCACATTCCTCAGGGAATTTAGGTAGAAAAAAGATGGAAAACCGGTGTCTAGTGTGTATTCAGATTCTATCAGCTCACCTTCTAATCCGTTATGATTGGCTGTAGCAATCATAATACCTTTATACATATTGCATTGGGCAAATCTGCTGCAAAAGACCTCTTTAAAATGTTAAAAAGCAAAGATGTCGCCTTGAGGATTAAGGTGCGCCTGACCCAAGCCGTGGTATTTTCAGTTGGCTCATACTCATGCAAAAGCTGAACAATGAATAAGGAAAACCGAAGAAGAATCAATTCCTTTGAATTACGGTGTTGGAGAAGAGTATTGAATATACCATGGACTGCCAGAAGAACAAACAAATCTGTCTTGGAAAAAATACAGCCAGAATGCCCCTTCGTCTCACGTACTTTGGACATGTTATCAGGAGAGACCAGTCCCTGGAGAAGGACATCATGCTTGTTAAAGTAGAATATCAGTGAAAAAGATAAAGACCCTCAAGGAGATGGATTGACACGGTGGCTGCAACAGTGGGCTTATCATAGCAACAATTGTGAGGATGGTGCAGGACCAGGCAGTGTTTCGTTCTGTTGTTGATAGGGCTGCTGTGAATCAGAACTGACTCAACAACACCTAACAACAACAAAGATAAAATATGGTGAAATTAATTACTTTATATTAACTTGACGACTTTAAGAATTAATGATCTGCCAGGCATAGACTATTTCACAAAGCTTTGATCCTATCAAGTGCAGAACATATTAGCCAAGTTATAAGCATGTGAGAATATGATCATGTATGACTGTTTGGGAAGAGAGGAATACATTGCACACACTTGAACAAATACTCGTAGAAAGCTTATACTGAAAGAATGCATACTTGGTATTTGGAAAGACTGTAGGAACAATAGGTAAGTTTTAAAGGACAAAATTTAATTTTGAGGTAGTTAATAAATCATGGGAGAGGTTTTTTTTTTTTTGTACTTTAGATGAAGGTTTGCAGAACAAACTAGCTTCTCATTAAACAGTGCATATATTGTTTTAAACATTGGTTAAAAACCCCATGACATGTCAGTATTCTCTCTTCTCGACCTTGGGTTCCCTATTACCAGCTTTCCTGTCCTCTCCTGCCTTCTAGTCCTTCCCCCTGGACTGGTGTGCCCCTTTAATCTCGTTTTGTCCTATGGATCTGTCTAATCTTTGGCTGAAAGGTGAACCTTCGGATTGACTTCGTTACTGGGCTAAAAGGGTGTCTGGGGGCCTTAGTCTCGGGGTTTCTCCAGACTCTGTCAGGCCAGTAAGTCTAGTCCTTTTTTGAGTTAGAATTTTGTTCTACATTTTTCTCCAGCTCTGTCCGGGACCCTCTGTTGTGATCCCTGTCAGAGCAGTCAGTGATGGTTGCCAGGCACCATCTAGCTGTACTGGACTCAGTCTGGTGGAGGCTGTGGTAGTTGTGGTCTATTAGTCCTTTGGACTAATCTTTCTCTTGTGTCTTTAGTTTTCTTCATTCTCCCTTGCTCCCAATGGGGTGAGACCAGTGGAGTATCTTAGATGGCTGCTTACAGGCTTTTAAGACCCCAGGTGCTACTCACCAAAGTAGACAGTAGAACGTTTTCTTTATAAACTATGTTATGCCAGTTGAGCTAGATGTTTCCTGGGAGAGGCTTTTGTAACAAGTTACATACTGGTCAAATTAGCCAAGGTTAAGTAAGTTTCTAAGAGAAGCTGAAAGATTGCATATAGAGATCACAAAGTAGAGGCAGTGAGATGAATGTGAGGGAAAATAACCACCAAGAAGCAACCAGATAGTAGAGAAAGAAACATATAAATTTGATTTCCAGATGTTTGATTTACCAAGAAAAGAGAGAAAAATGCAGGAGACCACTGAGAGGTGGTAAAATTGAGTAAGGTTCAACATAAGGGACTAAGTGTATACATAGTGGTTAATCATAAAGCAGAGAAGGTCATCGTATTTGAATTTGTAGTTTAAAACTTTTTATATAATAAATACTGTATACAATAGATTTATAGGTAAAGACTGTTTACTTATGTCTGTCCTTGATTTCTCATCTCTATCTTTAATATATAATTTTGGTCATTGCTCTGAGAATTACTTTCTTACAAGGAGCATCTATTAATGAAAATGTGGTTAGGAGCTTTAATCTGGTTTGTATTTAAGAATATTATACAGGTAAGACCCATGGGTTATTGGTGCAGATATTAGAATATAATACCAAATTTAGAGAGTCTCAGTTTCTATTCCCTGGGTCAGTAAAGAACATCTTTTAGACTTTGTTGACGATTCCCTGTAGGTCAGCCCCACAAATTGTAATTAGAAAGTAGTCACATTTATTAGAAAACTTAAAAAATTACTATTTTCCTTTCACTGAAGAGGGATGGTTAATGTCCCCATTATATGGATAATGTTGATGAAAATGGGGACAGTTTATACCTTATTTCTTCTTCTTTTATAGGTTTTAAAACGACCAGAATATTTTGGGAAGTTTGGTAAAATACATAAAGTTGTCATCAATAATAGCACATCATATGCAGGCTCACAGGTAACTAATTATAGGGATTTTTGCCTTTTCTCCCTATGGTCTGGGCTTGACCTGGGCTTTTCAGAAAGAAAACTTGCTTTCTGTGATTAGAAAGCATGAGGGTCAAGGACCTAAGCAGTGTAGTGCCCTCTATTGGTGGGATGGGGAATTTTTGGTGCTCATTTGACCCTTCAAGGACTTAAGAGTGAATTGATAGTAATAAGCGGGAAAGAGTAAGACAGAGATTTAGTGATGGGGTAAAAGGGGAGGGGGAGTTGACTTATTATCAGGCAGTCTAATAATTAGTGACTTCTAATCAGTAATATTTTCAGATATTGAAAACTTAATAGAGCATCTTTCTGTGCTGATATTAGGAGATAGCCTATTCCTGTAGATTGCATTTATTTTTGGGAGAACATAATTTGACACAGTGTCTTGAAATTTTATTTTGTTTTAATCTAAATTTCGGAGTTTTTTTTTCCTTTTAACCTTGATGGGCCTGTCAAGTGACATTTTAAAAAAATAAATGCCAAGCCGGAGATGATATTTTATTCATGTATGTTATAGTCTAACTGAAATCAGTAAAATTCACTAGGCATGATTTTTTTTTAAAGGAGATAGTATACTGTTTAATCAAAACCACTACTACTTCTAATTATTATCATTATTATTAATCATAGTAGTAGTAAAGTTCTTTGGAATTCCCTAGGCAAGTTGCAAGAGAATTTTTTTTTTTTTTTTTAGTATTTGTGTAATTTGAAACTGATTAACAGTGATATCGGGTGTTTTCACTTTAGGGTCCAAGTGCCAGTGCTTATGTCACCTACATCCGGTCAGAAGATGCTCTCAGAGCCATACAGTGTGTCAACAACGTGGTGGTAGATGGCAGAACACTGAAGGTAATATGCTCCCCCTTGATGTTTTCAGAGGGTGGGAGGTAAGATAGAGTAAGTGGAGGAGAGCCTAGCATTTTCATATTAAATTTGAAGGCAGTTTATCTGAAGATTGCTTCTTAAGCACCCATACCAATATACATACCTTATTTTGTGAAAATGGAACCATTATTATTCTTCTCATCAGAAATAGCTAATGGTTCTGACTTGTTGTCCTGGAATATCTGGACACTGATTGAGTCAAGTTTGAGTGCAGGAGCCCACCAGGCAGTGCTTTATGTAAGTGGAAGAAAGTGTCACTAGGAAAAGGAATTTGCCTTCTTATGTGCCCTGACCACTTACAACACGGAACAGATTTTGTCTGTCTTCTCTCCTGGGTGCTCAAGTTCGGGAAACCATAGACTGAGATGTTTTCTTTAGTTCTTCCAGATGAGCATTATCTTATCAAAGCCTCTGAGTAGTAGTTCAACTCTCTACTGTTCACAGCCATACTTCTTGTTTTGTCAAGTCTATGCCTTGTTTTCGGTGAAGAGGAAACACTAACCATGGAAATTCTGATTGTGGTGACAACTCACATTTTGAGTCCTTTTTCCCCTCCCCTCCTTTTCTTGCAGGCATCTCTAGGTACAACGAAATACTGCAGTTACTTCTTAAAGAATATGCAGTGTCCAAAGCCCGACTGCATGTATCTACATGAATTAGGGGACGAGGCGGCCAGCTTCACAAAAGAGGAAATGCAGGTAGTAAAGAAATGTGAATTATCAACTTTGCAGAAAAGGGAGTACTTTTTCTTTAGAAGTTAAAATTACAGAAGCAAATCAAGTGTGTTTTTTTTCTTTTTAACTGACATTAAAGTAGTATTTTCTGAATAAAGTGTTCTATGGAATGTCAGTTCTGCAGGATATTGTTGTAATAAAAAAGGGTCCTGTGGTCAGCTAAGTGTGAAAATGCTAGATTCACTGAAGATTAACAGATGTCTTTGCTGTAGGTTTCTTCTCAGAGTCTTTAATGGGCTAATACATATCCACATATCGAGGAGGGGAATGTGTAGTACCTAGTACAACCACAACTTTTTGACCACAGAAAACACTGGGAAATGCTACTTTAGTAGAAATGTCAGCACAATGAAAGCTAAGAGGAATACTGTAATTATTAGTTGGGTTTTTGCCTAATCTCTGCTCTTTACAGAGCACACTAGAAAATAATACTCTGTCAAATAATGCTGATGAGCTAACATTTTAAAAAATTATTCTCCCCATGAAAGTGTCCACTGAGTCAGTATCCTGTAGAGGGTGAATTGAAGGTTTAATATCCTATGTTCTTTTTTACATTTCCTCTTCTCCTGTTTCCTTTCAATTTGTAGTATAAACATGAATTTAGAAGTAAAAATGTTGACCCATACGGCATTTTAAATGAGGATTATACCAAAGCACAATGCTGCACTTCCCTATTATAGATGAGGACTTCAGATTGTTGCTGTGGACATTGGCAGGAATACTTCTCATTTAGAAGGTGGGGGGCATTCATCGCTACCTTTCATTCTCCAGGTCAAACTAGAGAAATTCAGCAAGGGAATCCTTTATGAGCAGATTGTTAAATAAAATGAAATCTTACCTTTTTTGACTTGGAGTTACTACAGATTAAATCCCATTATAATAAATACATTGGACTTTCTTGACAGTGATGTCTTTATGATTCAAAGACAGTATTAAAATTAGATCTTTCTGATATTTAATAGGAATGGATAACTTACTGATTTTCTTATTCATTAACTTCTTGTTGATCTGTTTTTTAATGAAATCTAAGTTTCACACTAAATTTTGACTAATAGAGAATATATTATACTCATAAGCACTATTACAGTGAAAATTTCTGTCAAACCACAGTTGATCTCATTTTGTGCATTATTGAACAATGAAAGAAGTTGGATGGACAGTCTCTCATAACTTATTTGTAATGGGATTTAACCTGTCTCTTATGAACTGCCCCTGTAGGATCATTTGAATATCAGTTTGAACATTTTGTGGCTAGTGAAAGCCATAATATCTCCTGAACTACTGATAGCAGAAAGAATTTTCAAGGTTTTTCATGTTTTGAAGATGTAAATTTCAAATCTAACTGTATTTTTTTCTTCATAATTTAAATTCATGTCATAGTGTTGTTCTGAATTCATCTGGATCTTCTTTAACCTGAGTTTAAAATAACTTTGAAAAGGAATTTCTTTGTAAAAACACTTCCTTAGTGTAGAAAGGAAATTTTAGTCAGTTATATCATGGCAAAAATCCGAAGATCTTTTCTTGTTACTGCATAACTCAAAATTTAGTTTTTAATATTTGTAGGTCTGACTGAAACAGGCAAGGGACTTGGAACAGGGAACGATGCATTGTGCCGTATACGATACAGTTGTGCTCAATTAAATGGTATTGCCCTGGCTTGTTTTTGTGGTTTTGTTTTTGTTCTGTTTTGGTTTTGCCATAGCATCTATTTAAACTACACTTTTTACATAATTAATACCCCTGAAGGTAAGTAAAAATGTTTTAATCAGTCTGTCATTCGAGTCATGATATACATGCAGATAGCAAAAGTGATTTCATTGTAATTTATTTTTGTCTAAGTAGCTTCCATAGTCAGTCCTTGTCTATTTTCTTCCATGTTTGTGACATTGCCTTCTGATATACAGCTACCTAAATACAGTAAATGTAGCATTGTATTATTGTGCCTAGAGCAGAGGTTGGCAAACTTTTTCTGTAAAGGGCCAGTTAGTAAGTATTTTAGGCTCTCTGGGCCATCTAGTTTCTGTCAGAGGTACTCAGCTCTGCTGTTGTACCATGAAAGCAGCCGTAGACCATATGTAAATGAATGAGCATGGCTGTGTTCCAAGAATAGTTTATTTACAAAAACAGGTGGCTGGCTGGATTTGGGGAGAAAGCTATAAATTGCTGACTGCTGGTTTAGAGTTTAAAATACATTAATTTTATTTTACTCTTGGTAACAACGGAGAAAAGGAGAGGGTAAAAACAAATTAATGGGATTTTTACTTAGTGTCAGATAATGGGAAATTCTTCATCTATGTGTTAAACAGTGTTAATCTCTAAAAAAGAGTGATTGAGTTGGGGTGATCTTCAGTAATTCAGTAATGCCTGTTAGAGAGAGAGTTAATGCTTATATGAAAGATGTGGAAGTAGGTTTAAAAAAGACTCTAGTTTTTTGAGCTAGTGAAAATGTTCTCTTAATATGCTTTTCTGTAGAATAAAGTGGTTTCTTATTGATGAAATGCCTTCATTTAATTCAGGGAACATACATCATGTCATTTTGTTGGAAGAACTTTCATTGGTCTAGAAGTTTTCTAATATCCTCACAGTCTTTTATGATGCCCTAAAGAAACTTTATATGTTTTATATACCAAACCAAAAACCAAACCCATTGCCGTCAAGTCAATTCTGACTCATAGCAACCCTATAGGACAGAGTAGAATTTCCCCACAAGATTTCCAAGCAGTGGCTGGTGAATTTGAACTGCCGCCCCTTTGGTTAGCAGCCAAGCTCTTAACCACTGCACGAACAGGGCTCCATGTTTTCCATAGGATACCTTTAATAATTCAGAAAGTAGTTCAATATTTTATACCAGCTGTTTTGTGAATCCCACTGCAGATTTAATTTCTTCTTTTATTAGGCGGGTAGACACCAAGAATATGAACAGAAGCTACTTCAAGAATTATATAAATTAAATCCCAATTTTCTTCAGCTGTCTACGGGTTCAGTTGACAAGAATAAGAACAAAGTGACACCACTGCAGAGGTACGACACGTAAGTACTGATATTCGTACGCTCAGACGTCTTAGCCCTCTGCCAGCCTTCCCTCTTCATTTCGCATCTTTGCTAGGTAGAATCCTTCCTGACAAGATCCGCCATTTGTTCTTTTCATGCAGAATTGTTTAGCTATATAGGAAATCTGGAGTCGCAGTACCTGGGTTTGAGTATTCATTCTCTGCCTGCTCTCCCTGGTGACACTTCAGACAAGGCCTTGATGGCTTCACTTCTGCAGTGATTTGCAGACTACCCTGAGCCCAGGGAACACCTTTCTTGTTAAAAAAGAAGTTAAGGGGTGTTAGGCTCTTGTCTCCTTGTTGAGATCTCCCCCTGATATAATGAGGGGAAAAAGTACTATGAAAGGGAGAGTGGAAGTTATCTGAAGCCTTGTATGTTGGGGACACAGAGCTAGTCCCAGGAATCACTAAACACTGAAGTCTTATATACTGAGTGGGGACGGTATCCCATATTCAGATTCTTAGCTGTGTGGTTTCAGGTAGGCCTATAGTATACCAATGTTTAAACAAATTTATAGTTCTAATTACTAAGTCTCATTCTGATACAGTGATCTTTGTATCTTGGATTGTATTTGGTTATGGTCTAAAATGGTATAATTAAGAAAAATACTCATTTTGGGGTTGTACTGTATCCTGAATGTTCTTTAATTTGATCCTGTAGGATCTTTGTTCTATTTATTTTTAGTTTGATAAGTTTAACTTCTATACAAATGATTTTATTTAAACAAAATAGCTTCAATTAATTTAGGTATGCTGATTGTCTTTTATTTTTTTTCTCAATTACAAAATTAAATTTAAGTGATATTTTAATCTCTGGGTGTTAAATGTTGTATCCCAGTGTCTCTTTAGCACTAAAGTAATGTAAGAGCCATTTTTCAAATTCAGGTAATAATAACTACATGTATTATTGTCAGAGTGGATTTCTTCAAAAACATATTCTTGTGTTTAAATTTTTAAAGTCTTTAAGTTTATTCCCTCTGGTAGTAACGCTTATTTAAATATTAAAGACTGTTTAAATATTTATTGTTTATATATACACATATACATGTATTATATATAAATGTATATGATAGGCCACAAAACAAAACATAAAGTTACTATATTGTGAAAGTTGTGAAATTTGTTTATATCAAAACTAAGAATAAAGTCTAAGTCCATATGAAAATCTTTTTGAATTGACAAGCTTTTGAACCCTTCCTTTGGATTTTTGTGCCTGCCCTTTCCTGTGTCTGTCTGTGTATTTGTGAGGAACCACATGCTGGTATCTCATAGTGATCACCAGCTTGTAGTGCTTGGTACAGGAATGGGATTATTGTAATAAATGTTTATTTCAGATGCTTTTAACATTTATACCCATCATTGTTCTCATTTGAAAAATTGTCAGTCTAATTAAAGTCATATTTTGGGTTGACAGTCCCTAGAGAATGCAGAGCAGAAATTTAAATTTTAGATCATATCTTTGAGATAACAGTTGTTATTTTCTGAATATGAAAGTAACAAGTTTTCATTGAAGGTAATTTGAAAAATTCGTAAAAGCATGCAGGAGGAAATAAATTTGGTATGTGATCTCAATACGCAGAGGTTTTCACTGAAAATAGTTTGGTGTATTTTCCTTATAGTGTGAATTTCCTTGTAGCCTTTACTTCTTGTGAATGTACAGGTAGTCCCCGATTTCTGACGGGATTCCGTTCAGACAACTCTGTTGTAAGTAGGTTCTGATTTAAGTCGAATATCTCTTTTTTTTTTTTAAGTTTTTGTTATCATTGCCTTTTATTATCTCTCAGTATCTTTATAAATCTGATCTTTATTTGTTTTGGGGGATTGGAAGCATTACATATAAACATCAAATCACGCACTGCAGCATTGTATCTAGTACATATTACTAACCATAAGATGTTAAACAAACAAAATAACAGACTGTCACTAAGTAAGGTTCATTGTAATTGTAGTATGTCTTAAGTCAGGGACTACGTGTGTGTGTGTGTGTGTGTGTGTGTGTATACACAAATTACATTGGTTTGTTACATTTTAAAATTTAATGTTCGTTGTTATGAATATTTTCCCATGTCATGAAAACATAATTTTTAATGGCTACATAGTACCCCATTATGTGTGAATATTTAAAATGTATTAAACCAATTTCCTGTTATTTTATACTATGTTATTTTCACTTTGGGGCTATTCTGAGTAGCACTGCCTTGAACATATTTTCATATAAAGGTTTTGGTTATAGCTTTGGTTGTTCCTGGAAGTAGAACTACTGAGTCAAAGAGTGTGAGAGTACCTGTTTCTCTGAATTGAGTATTTTTTCTCCTCATGTTTGCTAATTTGAGAAAAAAAAAAAAAAAACTGTCTCATTTTAATTTGTGTTTGATTGATAGAGTAAATTCTGTGCATTGTGATTCATATCTGTTCCCCATGTTTTATTTGTGTTTATCTCTTCTTTTTAGTTTGTAAGAATTTTATTATGTGTTGAGGATATTATGCCTATTTAATTTCATTTTTTGTCTTTTAATATCAGGAATGGTATGTTTGCACTTGAAAGGTTTGCGGTTTTTATGTGGTTATAAGTGTCCATCTTTTCCTTTATTTTTGTCCTCTTATGCTTAGAGAGACCTTCTCTACCCAAGATCGACAGATAAATAATTACCTATATATGTTTTTTATTTTATGTGTTTGTGGTTGGGATTGTTTTGTTTTTGGTATTAACTGTTTAAGTGTCTTGAGTGTATAGAGATCTAACTTTCCCGACTAACTAAATCAAACCAAACCCATTGCCACTGAGTCGATTCCAACTCATAGCAACCCTGCAGGACAGAGTAGAACTGCCCCGTAGGGTTTCCAAGGCTGTAATCCTTATGGAAGCAGACTGATACATCTTTCTTCAGCAGAGTGGCTGGTGGATTCGAACCACCACCCTTTTGGTTAGCAGTCAAGTGTTTAACCACTCTTGCCACCAGGGCTCCTCCAGCTAGCTAACCAATTATTTATTTTTTGAAATAGATTAAATTTATAAATCAATTTTGGAGGAATAAATATTTAACAATACTGAGTCTTCCCAACTATTAGCATGGCATATCTCTTTATTTAAGTCTTTTGTACCCCTCAGGAAAGATATATTTGTCTTTTTCTTGTTTTATAGTATTGGCTCTTCCACTACCTATTCCTGTTTGAGAATCCCTGTCTAAAAATTAGAGAATGGTGTTATAATAGCTGTGCTAGCAGGCATCCTTGTCTTGTTCTTTACTTTTATGGGAATGTCTGTGTCTCTGGTGTTTTATTCAGTCTTAAAGTATGATTTTTGATATTTTAATCACAATATGAAGATACCTTATTCTTCCTAATTTATTGAGTTTTTTCCCTTTAAACTGGAAATGAATATTGGAATTTATCAAATGTCTTTTCAGGGTTTATAATAAGTATTTAGCTGTTCTTTATTTTTTGTAATCAGTTTTTAATAGATTTCCTAGTATTTTATTGACTTTACCTTCATATAGAGCATAGTCAGGTAATCCACAGAGCACATTGCTAACCGTCTCAGTAGCAGGAGAGGAGTATCCTAGGAGCCACAAGTTGTGGAGTGGTTGTGACTTGATATTGTGGCTCAGTCACACAAGCTACTATTGAGGGAACCGAGATGTTCTGCTTTAGACTGAGCTGAAAGGAGGGAGAAGAAAAACTCGCATCTTCTGTGCTCATTTAATCTCTTCCGGTAGTTCTGTGTGGTAGATATCATTGTTACCTTACTACAGGTGAGAAAACTAAGTCTCAGAGTTTACAAGTTTACAAGTATCCCACACAAATCAGTGACAGTCCAGATGCTTATGACCAAGTTTCAGTTGCTTTAAAGCCCAGGCTCATTCCGCTCATGCCCCCACTCTCCAATGGTTTCGTTTGGTAGAGGGGATACAGGAAATTCTGAAGAGAAACACTTAGGAAAAAGTAACATGAACCAAACTAACTCGATTAAATGAAATTATGCCATAACTGTAGGTAGTTTGAAGACGTCTGGTGCTTGAGGCCTGTCACCTCAGGGTAAATAGAGTGACTGGGCTATAGGTTCCAAGGAATCGATGGTATTTTTAGGAAAACCTTCTCTCAACTACGGATTGATGGCAGTAGAGGATTAGCTAGAAATGGTGAAAGGAAAACTTCTTTAGGAATTCGTCAATTTTTATTACATTGATGACATTGACAGAAAATGTACATCTTTTTAAAAAAAATATGGCTTATATCCTTATGGAAAGTCATATATAAGTTCTGATCGACTAGGAAGGTATAGTCAGAGTACCTTGTGTATTCAGCAGAATGGGAGCGGTAACTGCATGAGTCCTGTTCCCCTCCCCTGGCTTGATTTGGAAAACCCCTGAGGTTTAGAAAAGATATAGTTCAAAATGTGTTGAAAATAGTCTCGAGCAGTTAGTTAAATAATGAGTGGGTTTCAAGATACCAGTGAACTCTCTGAAATTTTGTGTAGAATTTTGTGTGCGTGCATGCTTTTCTGAAGAGAGGATCCGCAGCCTGAAATAATGGATCAATTATTGTTGTAGAGGGGGCTAGTCTGCTGATACCCATAGCTGGATTGGAGGTGGATTCAGGAGTGGCCTAAAGAATAGACAAGTGCCATGAGAGGTGGTTACATTTTATAAAATGGGTCTCCAGAAAGGCATTTCCTCTTTTACTTTAAGGACCACTTACTAGCAAACTTAAGTAGATGAGTTATTAAGGTTTGCTAAGATTTGATGCTTACGTGAAAATTAGTGAATTTCCAGATTTTTTTCCTGAAGTTTGTTTATTTCTCTTAAAAAGTTTCCTTCCCATGCTGTGTTTGGTTATATACAAAATTATGGCATATGTGTGCATACCACTGAGAACTAGTAAATGAGCTGGGGTGTATTGCCCCATCTAAGTAGAATATAGTAAAAAAAAGATGGAGACCCACAGGTCTAAAGTGTTTGTTCAGGGGGTAGGTTGGAATGG